TTATTTTTTTAAATTTCTTATTTTTTTCATTGGAAAATATAAAATTTAACAAATTTTCACTGTTTTATTGTATTACAAAGTTAAAATTACAAAACAATTACAAACTTACAATACCTTAATAATATCTTAATTTCTCAATAACAATTAGATTATTATTTCTTAGAATCAACTTCGATATCAACGATATTTTTTCTTGTTGTTTAATTACTGTGATTTTTTTCCTCATTAATGCTCTCCAGACTATAAATCTGAGTATTAATGAAAGATGAGAATTGAAATGGAGCTGTCACATCCATTACAACCTAAAAACGTATTTATTTTACGCCCAAAAATAACATCTCAGGTGTCCATGACGAGCTACCACCTGAGTTTCACTAGAACCAACGAAAAAAAAAACAACACCTTCACGTGTGCTTCTGATGTAAATTCGTCTTGACTCACTTATGTAAATTCAATAGTATCTACTTATCCATACGAAAATAAAGAAGAAGAAAAAAAACACACACACACATTTCGATTTCTTTGCACGTATCGCTAACAATAAATTAAACAATAATTTGTACGCGAGTTTTATAGATTTTTGATGGCTTATTTTGAAAATATCAAAAATCATATAAAAATCCTTTCACTTTGGGCCGGGCGTCGATAAAATTTTTATATAAATTGTAATAAATGAAATATTACCTAAACTCTGCGACATCGTCACGGCGTACAACTGCGGAGGACATGATACGCATACTTAATTAAGTTTTGTTTGTGAATTTATTGGTCAACGTAATCAATAAATAGAGAGAGGATGCGCAGCAGGTTGTAAATGATCGATTCGGGTAATTTTATGCGTTAAAAACTGCGAATGCATTGAATAAAAGTTAAAAGTCGAAAAAAAATTGTTGCTATTAATAAATGATTGAAAATTACAACATCGAAATTGAGTCATGGTCTTTAAGATATATAATGGACGTCAATTTAATAAAATTAATCAATTTAAAAACATTTTTTATGTTTTTTTTGACAACAGATGGCGCAAAAACACATTTTTTTCGTAACATAACCCATAAAATTGTCATTTATGATAAAATAAATTCAATACAAATCAATTTAATGAAATTAATTAATATAAAAACATATTTTGCGGCTTTTTAACACCAGATGGCGCAAAAACACATTTTTTTTCTAACATAACCTGAAATATTGTTCATTTTGATGAAATAAATGCAATACAAAGGATTAGATGTCGTTTGGCAATTGATTTGCACCAAACCCTGTCCGTAATAATTTAGCAAACACTTCGGCAAACATTTTCTCTCCGTGCCCCGACCACAATCTCGAAATTGTATCTCAGCATCGCAGAATGTGAGCTGTGCTCCTCGCCGGCGAGATTTATAAACACATTGTGAGAAATATATTTACGATGTCGCAATTTCAATGCGACTTTTGAAATATTGTCCATTCGCGGCGATGTATTGGCGCGTTTCGCGCATTGCTCACGCCGATCTGATGCGTATTAGCCGCGCCGCCGAATGCATCGATAGATAGATTCTAATCTCCCCGCGATGCGGCGCGCGATTTATCGGCGACGGACGCGCGAAGACAATGATGCTGCTTACACGATGTTATTTTGACGCTGGTGAATTTCGTTCGGCCCGCGGAATATTTTCGGCCTGAGAATACGAAAGATTTATTTGGAAAACTGGAAGCGTGCATACCCCAGCTGTGATAAATTATTTTCACGCTTCTGCGGCGTGGTATAACGGGCTGAAAATTTCGTATGTGTCGTTAAATGCGGAATTTATCGCGCACGAAATAAGGAAAGTTGTCGATATCAATAAAGAATTGATTCAGAATTATGAAAGTTTAAAAAATTATAAAAAACAGTTTTTAGGTTAATCATAACCTGAAAAAATAGAAAAACAAGTAAAATAATAGTTAAAAACAATATTTTATTATTTGGAATTTATTATTACAGAAACAACAATTTTTACCTTCAAATTTGTTAAAAAAAATTAAATTTCAGCAAACCAATTGATTAATAGTTAAATATTTGTACTTTTTAGATAACTTATTGTTGTTTTTGTCACATTCATCAAAAATTGACACACTTACCAGCATATTTCAATGCACATACCCAAAATTTGATCTCAAATTCTTGTAGGTGTGCCGAAATTCGCCCGCCATCGCATGTTCCACAAAGAAGCAATAAAACCCGATTGTTTGCCGCGTGCATTTCGAAAAATCAATAACGACATGACAAGCGATCGATCGTAAAACACTACGAATTAATTATACACAACCAATATGTGGCGTTTCGACAATCGAGTACAATCATTACACGGCTGTAAATTAATACATTATTATTTGCCAACAATGGCCCAGACAAGCCAAAAAAATAAACAACATAAGATACTCGTATGTGTATATCATACGAGCACAATCTGTTTGGCTATGTAGATGTAGATGTTAAGTTTGTTAAATTTGTACCTTGTTTATATGTTTGTATGTTTATGGTGAATATTTTATTGGCGATCATTTTGCTATTAATTAGATACGGACACGGACAGTTTGTGGGAACATGTAGATTGATACGGTTTTAATAAGCGTGCTTGTTGGCGAATTAGGTGTTGGCTGGCTTGTTAAATTTTTACTTCTCGCACGTTTATTGATAGTTATAGACTTATTCCGAGTGCAAGTGTGCAAGCGTGTTGCATAATTTGGTGCAGTATGACTGGTTTACAGATTTTGCGGATTTTAAATTAGCTTATTTGCATTAAGTAGGATTATCGCAAGGATTTCTATTTATTGATGTTGCGTTAACATTGAAATTTTTTTATTATATTAATAGGAAGTTATTTGAAATTCAAAAGTAGAAGAAAAAATAATGGTTGAGCTGCAAAACAAGGTTTTAATGAGAAAAATTTAAAGAAAAAATGTAAAATTGTGTTTTTTAAAATATTTTCTTAATTTAACACTATGTAGCTATACTGAAGCAACGTATTATATGCAAAAATAATAGGTTTTAAGAAGAACTAACAATTATAACTTAAATGAAAGTTGTAGGTGTTCTGAGTCAAAAGTTGTAGCAAAAAGAAGTTTCATTTAACAATACAACCTTAAAATACAAGATAAAAAGTAATGCAATGCAGCAAATTCTTTTTTTTACACAAACACAAATAAATTGCACTTTTTGTTATGAAACGCAGCAAAAACAAGATGTATCCATGCAAAAATCAATATTTTAGTAGCAAAACAAATAAATTTTTAAGAAAATAATTTAAATACAAGAATTATACACTATATAATTTCATTAAATGAAATCTTTTGCTTACAATTACTAAATATTAACTAGAATTAACAACTACAACTTAAATGAACGTTGTAGCTGCTCTGTGTCAAAAGTTATAGCAAAAAGAAGTTTCATTGAACAAAATAAGATAAAAAAAACCAGATAAAACGCGTTGTATTGCAACAAATACTTCTTCTTTAGACTTAATAAACACAAAATAAAACTCTATTGCATTTTTGTTATCAAACGAAGCCAAAACAAGTCGTATGCACTTAAAAATCAATACTTTAGTAGCAAAACAAGCAAATTTCTAAGAAAATAATTTTAAATGAGAATTTAACCCAATAAAACTTCACTAAAATAATGTCTTACATATGCAATTAATAAATATTAACTAGAACTAACGATTAGAACTTAAATGAACGTTCTAGCTACCCTCAGTCAAAAGTTATAGCAAAAAGAAGTTTCAATCAACAATATAACCTCACAATTATGATACAATGCTTCACACCGTAACAAATTCTTCTTTATTACGCGTAATAAACACAAAACAAAACTGAATAGCACTATTTTTTATAAAAATAAGCAAAAACAACATTCATACACGTCAAAAATTAATAATTCCCCAAAAAAACAAGAAAATTTCCAAGAAAATCATCAAAAAACACAAATTTCCCCACAAATACGACAATACAATATAAAATTTCATTTCATAAGTTTCGCTTTCGTTACATTGATGATCAAATCATGTTACTCAATTGAATTCCATCATCCTTCGATGCGTAATTGACGTCAGCCGATGGTTACGCTAAAAGCCTGAATAGTATATACATCCATACATCTTACTACAAACAATATCATTCATTCAGCATTCTCATTCATCCTCGCTGCCTTACACCCTGACTTACATAAATTCCCCAACACGACAACCTGCTAGTTGGTTGCATAAAACTGATGAGATCTTGATATTTTGCAGGAGACAACGGATGTGGGCACCGCCGCGTGTTATACAACCCCAACCGCCACCGGCGTATGGATTCTCCTCGCGCGGATCGATGACGCACCGCCCGCAAGCCGTGGCGGCCGTGTTGTACAACAGGTACATCACGCGTCCAAACATGCATGCACCTACGCTCCACCGGCCAAAAATTCAGACACAGTCCACCATGGTCCGAATTTAGCAATACCCACATATGATTTCCGGAGTTATTTTCGCTCATCGGACGAATTCGCCGCCCCCGCCGCCGTCACTTCATTCATATACTCGTGGGTGTTGTTCGGGAGCTACGCAGCTGCACCTGGGGGTTGCTATGCGAGACGCAAACCAAAACCGGATAAGATGTGGGTGGAAATTCAACCTACGCACGCGATGAAAGCGAAAGCATCACTCAAAACTTTCATAAACAATATTTTTACATTGTTTCACTAAAAAAACTATAAAAATAATCACCGTAGTAATATAAATAGTCTAAAATATTCCAAAACGGAAGTAAAATGTTTCCGGATGTTATAAAATGTTATAAAATCGATATAGAGGTATGACGTCGTCGTTGACGTCATAACCGTGACGTCGCGCTTGGGTACTGCCGCCGCCGTCGTATAGGCATCGATCTGTAAGCATGTGTGACGTCATACTGCGGTCCGTGACGTCATGAAGCGCGCGTCGCGGTTATAATGGGCCGGTGAGCGCGTAGCAGGGATATAGTGTGACGCCGCCGACGCGGAGCGTGCAGTCGCGTGCAAATCTTAGACCGCTCTGGACCGCGAAAGACGCACACTCACACACACGCTGCTGGCCCCACGCTGCTTACTTCTTCTTCTCTCGCTGGCCGCGTTGAGAAGCCACCTGAGTGTTGTTCGAGTTATTGCCGCGCGCAACGCGATCGCGTTCGGACCGTGCGTGTGCAAGTGCCAGCGAATTATAAATTATAAAAACCGCGATAAAATAAATACAAATAAAATAAAAACTTTTTTCTGTGCGTGTGTAAATAAAAACTTTCGGATTTGAAAATATAAGAGAAATTTGTTTGTTTTTTGATATTTTTGGGAACCATGCCGACGCAACAGTGTTTCCATGAGGATATCTAGAGACCCAAGCGTGGAGTCACCCCGGAGCGGTGCGGAAGAGGCGCAATCACCCTCTTCGCCGGAAGTTGAATTCCGGGAGTCGCCAGGTGACTTTTGTGTCCCGCCATGTTGTTGTAACCACCACAATCACCACTTCTTGCATCGAATGGACATCCACACATTAATTAAACACTAGATTTTTATATTTACAACAAAAACATTAGTTACCTACATATTCCAGTCAGCGTTGTAATCGTTTTTTTTTTGTTCCTGTTAAGTTTATATACATGGTGTTTTTATTTTTTGTTTTTTGGGGACTGCATGTATGGACATTTTATTACGTTTGAATGCATGATTAGTGCGTCGTACACCTGTAGAACACACCTGTAGACGTTTGTGATATTATATACCATTGTGAGTGTTTGCGTGCGCCAGCCCCCCGGGTCGGGTATGATGCCTTCGACATGCGGTCCGGGCCGCCGCCGTTGAAGCATCAATCACCACCATTCAATCACCACCATCGCCGGAACGGTGTTACCACCGACAGCAACAACAATTCCACCAGTTACACCTATCTTAGGAACAAGTGTATGTAGATTTTATTTATTTTTTTTATTTATTTTTATTTATGAAAATTTTAAAATTTGAATATTTTGCGGTTTTATTTATTTGTTTATAAGTTTTTTATTGTTTTATGCTAAATATTTAATCTGTGATCAAGGACAAACGCATCTAATAATCATTTCCTGCTTTTGGGAGGTTGTAAAACATGAAAATATGCGTAAAATGCGAAAAATTAAATTAAATTAAAATCGCGTGAATAATTTTGTTACTTTTGGTTTCAACGACGCTATGCAAGTTTATTCTTGTTTTCTACACTTTATAAAGGCGAAATCAAAGTGTATTCAAGTTTGTGTTATCAAGAAATGCAGATAAAAGACTTGTTTACGATAAAAATCAATGTTTATGTTGAAACACACGCAAATTTCTTAGAAAATTAAGAAAAATAAGGATTAAACACTATATAAATTCACTAAAATTATGTCTTACATATGCAATTAATAAATATTAACTAGAACTAACAATTAAAACTTAATTGAACATTCTAGCTGCTTTCAGTCAAAAGTTATAGCAAAAAGAAGTTTCAATGAACAAAACAAGATAAAAACCGTGATAAAACGTAATGTAACGCAACGAATTCTTCTTTCTTAGACTTAATAAACGCAAAATAAGACGCTATTGCATTTTTGTTATCAAACGAAGCCAAAACACGTCGTATACACGTAAAAATCAATATTTTAGTAGCAAAACAAGCAAATTTCTAAGAAAATAAATAAAAACAAGAATTTAACACTTTATAGCTCCATTAAAATAATGTCTCACATATTAAATTAATAAATAATAACTAGAACTAACAATTAAAATTTAAATGAACATTGTAGCTCGTCTGAGTCAAAAGTTATTACAAAAAGAAGTTTCAATAAACAAAATAACTTAAAAACCGTGATTTCACGCAATAAAATTTAACAAATATTTAATTTTACGTTTAATAAACGCAAAACAAAATTCTATTGCATATTTTGTTGTCAAATAATGTAAAAACAAGACGTATCCAAGTAAAAATTAATATTTAACTTGAAAAACAAGCAAAATTTCAAAGAAAACACATCAAACCCCAAGAATTTATAATTATACACGCCGATAAATAATTGTCACTCTCGTTTTCGACGCCGCAACGCACGTGAACAGATCACGCCGCGCGAATCTTGTGATCAGCGAGCGCGCGCCCAATTGATTCCAGAGATTAAATTATATTATCGCGATGTTAATTACACGATATTTTTAGCGGCGCACTCCGGCGGTTATTTGTAGCGCAGCGTGAAAAACTGCAACACTGCACCTACCTAGTCATATGGTTAAGTGCTAAATGTGCGTGTGTATTGTGCGGTGTAGATATTCATGGCTCTATAGAGAGGGAAAGGCGGCGATGACGTCATTGAGTTTTCAGCGGTTTCAGCAGCGGCGGCGGCGAGCGCGACCCAGAGTAATAAGCGATGACGTCAATATGACGCCAGCGGCGGCGTAGGTGGTGACGTCGCCGCGGACGGCATCGATTTCCGTGACGTCAAGCGGCGGCGGCGTCTTTGTCAGCCGCTCGCTCCGTTGCCGTTGGAGCGTCGCGTCGAGGTCAAAGCGAAAGTTTTGCGGTAGTCGCGACGCGAGAGTACCGGCGAAAGCACGCCGCTTCCGACACAACCGCCGCTCGTCCAAAGAAAAACATTACAACTTCTTTAATAATTACTGGAATTAACAACAAATTAATATTACGAGTATAAGAAGAAGTTATATTCTTCAACGACGTGTTTTGGTATGTTTTATTATCGTTTGATGTCTAAAAATTCATTTTCATTTGTTTTCATTCAAAATTCATGTTTTTTTATTAAATAATCACTCATATTTTCATCTGTGTGTATTCACAATGCACTAATTTGGTTGTAAAAGTGTGAAAATGAAATTATTTCTTGAAAGCACGAATGCTAAAGGAAAATCATCGCACCTTTCCGGCGTTTCCAGCGGAATCTTGGTTTATTTTCGTCCGCCGTCATCGATTCGTGACGTCGACCCGATTTCCATGACGTGGCCGGAGCATATTTGACCGTGACGCCACCGGCGTGCGGCGGCAACGACGACGGATGATCGATGCTTAGTTCGGACGCGCACCGCACCGCGAGTTGAACAAACACGCGGCGCGCACACTGAAAAGCTCCCGAAGCTTTCGCGTTTTTGTCTGTTTTATGACGGGCGTGCATGCACCTCGACGGGATAATATACACAAACACGAGCGATTAATGCGAATACGCCACGAACACGCGAAATGCGACTTTTTTTCTGCTTTGCTTGCTCGTGTTGAGCACACGAGCGCGATTATAAATAGAATATCGATTCGATATTTTTCGGCGGCTGTTTCTTTATTTATTTCTTACATTTTCACACGGTTTTTATACTTGAAGAAATAAATTTTAACGAATTATGAAATAATTTAATATAGGCAACTTTTCTTACACATTTTTATTTAAAGGCAGGATTAAATTAGGTTTAAAATTAAAAATTATTAAGGATTAATGTATAGGTGAATAATTTTGTGTTTTTGGCTACTATTTTATTTATTTCTTACATTTTAACACGTTTTTATTAACAAAAACCACAAATTTTAGCAAATAACCAACTAATTTAAAATAGGCAACTTTTCTTGCACATTTTTATTGAAACGCAGGAATAAATTAGGTTTAAAGTAAAAATTTATAATCATTAATGTTTTGCAGTATAATTTTCTTTCTTTGCTTATTTTTTATTAATTTATTACATTTTAATACGTTTTTATTAACAAAAAGCACCAATTTTAACAAATAACCAATAAATTTAAGATAGGCAACTTTTATTACACATTTTCATCAAAAAACCGCAAGAATAAATCATTTTTCAACTTAAAAATTGATATAAATGCAACGCTATACAATTTTCGATAAAATAACCTGTCAAAAACAGTCTCTAATTACATTAAAATATCAATATCAATGAGTGAATGTGAGCCGGAAGTTGTCTGTCCGCACATTGGGCGCAGTCAACGCATTTATTATTTATAATGATTCCGATTGTGGTTTTTGCGGTAATCATTGTTCCCTTCAACCTGCGCAGGTGCTTAAAGCTGCGTCAATTTCAATAATAACGCTGTCATGTCAATTGGGTGGTCTATATTATACAAAACAGCTTCTAAAAATTATGCAACGCATTAAACATTCAATAATGGCTTTCAACGCGCAATACAAACGCTTGTAAAAATGAGAAAATATTAATTAGCAAACAATAAATTAATTTATCGTATGATGTAAATGGGAAGTCGCAGAGTCATAAACCTAATAATACCAATAAACGCAAGTACGTTGTACTTTTGCATATATGCATACGCGCAAAACTTATAAATAAACATGAAGCATCATTTATAAACATCAATTAATTATGAATCAGCGAATAATTGCTACTCGTCGTCGTGATATATTGAAGTAAATCGGCGAAGTGAAAGTGCGCGCTCTCCACGCCGCGAAGTTCTCGTTCACCAGCAGCGGAACGAACAAAGGACCGTCTTGGAAGATATGTCGTCGCCGTAATGAGTTTACCACACATACGTTTGATTGACTAACAATTAATTGCCTCGGGTATTAATTAATTATTGAGACACTGATGCGCGCGCGCCCCAAAAATGGCGAAGCAATCCGAGCAAACGAGTCTTGTCCATTAGAATTCAAACTGCTGCTAATGCACACGCTCTAGAATCAAAATTTATTGATGCTGCAAATGTACGCATTAGAATAGTTGCAACATGTGAACATGTTGAGTTTACATTAACTTTTATCGCGAAGGTGCAATGTTGGTTGCTCACCAACATCAACAGGTTAACTAATTCGCAAATTCAGTACACAGATGTTGTCATGCGGGTTGCCTATAGTTTTTCTATCAATTTTGGTTACTCTCATTCGTGATGTTGGCAACTCGTGTGACACGTGCATCACGACACTATTTAACATCCTGTATACTCATCAATATATTGCGTCTTGATGCGGTTATAAAGTTGTCCGTGTGTTGTGCTGGAATGATTGCTCAATGTGCTCAATTTCACGGATTTAAGAGCGTAGGTGCAGCCGCGGATGACTCTCGGCGTTGCAGAATAGGTGAAAACCACACTAGAGCAGATCAAAACGTTCCGACGTGCGCAGATTGCAAAACAAAACACGGAAAAAAACACCAAGACCTTAAATTATGCGCGTGTGAGTGTGTAAAATATCCATCTGAGGGTTAAACGAGATTTGCGCCGGAGATAAAGCCGTACGATCGATAATTAACGTATTAATTAAAACGAACAACTTTGGTCATACACCGCGATAAAATTATGCAATATATATTAAATCAGATGCTGGGCTTTCTCACATATTTCAATATTTCAATCAATTTGCTACATGCTCGTAATAAAAGTATTGTTTGCGAATTGTGACTAGGCCATTTATTCGCGGCGTGTGTGCGCGCCGCGACCGTGCGCTACGAAATGTTAAAATGTGTCGTAAATGGTAAACGGTGTGCGTTCGTAATATGGCAAATCACGTTTTTCATATAAAATTAACTTTTTCTGCGGCGTTTCCGAAGGTATCGGCTACCTTTCCGACCGCTGCACGATTCCCCATGCCGATAGGCGCAGAAATGCTTCCAAATCGATTGCATATGTATTTATCGATTTTATTATTAACCGTGCGCTGCTGAAAGCTCCACGAAATCGATTACACAATTAACAAGCCGTCGCGTTTCAATCAAAACACACTTTATGCCCGCCGACGACCAATTAAGGAATGATATCTTGCCTTTTACAGCAAATTATATTGTATTTTGCATGTTGGATATGCACATGAAGTTGCCTACCACTTCAAAATCATCAATTTAAAAGAATTGACAGTTTGCAATGAAATAAATTGAAAAACATGCAAAAATATTAAAAATTTAAAAATTATTAACTTTAATAGCAAAAATATATTATTAATTAG